TTAATTAAACTTAAAAAATTTAAGTTTTATATTGAGCCAAAAAGCGTTCGGAGACTTTTGGCGGGGGTCTGTATTTTAAAATATATTATAATTTTGATTTTAAAACTAAAAAAAATATTATCAACTACTTTATTATACATATTAGTTATTTTATAAAATGTAATATAAATTCATTATCCTTTAAAATTAATTTTAATATTTATTAATTAATAATTTAATTAAAAATCAATATATCATATTTAATAAAATTTTTAATTTATATATTTTTTTTCAAAGATTTATTTATTATATGGGGCATACTGCAACAAAACCAGACAAATTGAACATTGGTATTACCATAATTTCAGAGATCAAAATTTGTAATGTGATTATTAAAATCTCCATTTGTTATCTTTGTTTTTACCTTAATATCAAGTGATATATAGAATTACTCCTATATAAAAATAACATTATGAAACTCATTTACATCAGATCTACTATGGAACTCAAGAATTATAGCACCATTAGAAGTATTCTAAAAAAAGAATAAGGCGAAAAAATTGTTCCATATGTTTTTAAAATAAATGATACTCAGACACTGGAAGCTTATCTAAGAAAAGAAAGGATTACTTATGAAATTTACCAAGAAGAGAGAAAAATAATAAGTATTGAAAAAAAAAAGCAGAATAAAAGTGTACTATTATTTAACAAAAAGCAAAAATCATCAGAAGGAAAATAATCTAATTGTTATAATATTGATTTATTTTTTTATTTTAATTCTTTTAATGACATAAATCATGGCAATTATAAAACCTAAAAAGTTATACCTATTATTCATAATCAGATTTATCATCATTAGTGATCACTAATAATCATAATTTCCTTTATTCTTTGAAATATTATTGTTATATTCATCAGTAGCTTTGGCAAAATCTTCATCTTTTAAGTCAGAGACAGTAGTTTTAACATGATAGATATTAGATTCAGTAATGCTATGATTATGTTTGTAATCAGAAAGAATGTAAATCTTATTTTTATCAGTAACACTGTAACTGCTTTTTTTATTATTGTTAGATTATCATTAATAAGATATTGAAAGCCAGGATATTTTCTTTGACTTCATCTAAAGGACAGTTGAAATGAATTTCATTTACATAAAAAAAAATATTTTCTTAATCTTCTTTAAATTACTTACTTGTTTTCAATCAAGATCATTTTTTTAGTTCTTTAACTTCAATTTGAGCAACTTGTTGCAAAGGTAACTGTTTTAATTGAGTTTTTAATCTTTGAATTTCTTCTTTATAATTGCCATTTTCTTTTTTTCAACTCCTTAATCTTATCCAAAAGTTCTTGTTTCTGTCTTTTACTTCACTTCTCTGATTTTTCTTGAAATTTAATTACTTCTTCCCTTTTGATTTTGAGTGCTTCTTCAGTCTCATTTAGTTGTTCTTGTAAAGAGTTTATTTGTCTTTCATAAAAAGTAGACTGACTTACTTCTTCATCAGGTAAGAGTAGAAGTTCTTTCTCTTTCAAGTCTTCATTGTTTCTAATACAGTAACAAACATTCTTACCAGTAACAATATCAAAATCTAACTTAGTTTGTAACCTACCACATCTATTGCACTTTAACAATTCATCACTCCAATACTTTTCTTCACACCTTTTACAAACCATATCATCTGAAATTCATTCACCAGTTACTTTACTATGGACTCTTATTTGATGAACGGATTTGTTATTTTTGTTTTCAAATTTAGAGTAGAAATCACAAGTTTTTTTGCTTTCTTTTTCTAATTCTTAAACTGTGTATTCCAACTCTTTTATTGTAATTTACTTGTTATTTAGACTCAACTTCTACTCGAGCAATCATTTCTTGATTGTGAAATTTTTCCTTTTTGATTAACTTTTGTAATTTTTGGAGTTTAACTTTTGCTTTAGTTTTTAACTGCTTAAACATGCTCTGTTTAGTTGATAACTTACTTTCTTCTTCTATAGGTAAAGCAGGTAAAGGTTTATTGTTAAAATAGAGTAAATTTTCATTTTGCAATTCACTGTCAGTTAATTGCTTACTTAGTTTTTCTATTTTTTTGCTCTTTTAACTTGATTCTTTCTCAAACTTTTCAACTCGGGCTTCTAGATGAGAAATCTTTTCACTAGAACTTTCGAGTTTCTTGTTTTTCTCTTTTATATCTTCTGCTTGATTTTTGCTTCACTTTTCACTAACTGTTAAGATTTCCTTAACTTGATCTTATTCTATTTTTACTCTCTCTTTTAACTCTTTTACCTCTGCTTCCAAATTTTTTGTTCTGCTTTTAGTGCCTTAATTTTCTCCTTGCATTCTTGATTTTGCTCAGATACTTTATTGAAATTTTCCTTAACTTTAAAAGTTAATTCATTCTAACCACTAATTAAATCATCTAAAAAAAGATGTCAAAGGTCATAATAATCATAACAACTTATACTTATTGAATTTCATCCTTCATAACCTTTTTCTAAGATTCCTTAGAGAGTTAAATTATCTTCTATTTTACCTTCTCTTAACCACTTTCTAAATAACTCTTTACTTTCTTCAGAGTTTAATTTGATAAGGTTGATAAAGATATCTCTTTTAGCATCATTTCTTACTATATAAATTTTCCTGTGATGTTGTAGTAATGATTAAACTGATAAACATAGAGAATCATATTTCTACGAGTCCTTTCAGTAGGATATCTCTTACAAAATGCAGACCAGTTTTCTTGATTACAATGATGCTTTATGACTATATCAAGTACCTTTATATCTATATCAGATTCGTAACTATTACTTAGAATATTAATTACTCATTATCTGATTTCTTTGTTATTTAACTGTTTAACATTTTTTTACTCTTTATTAGCTAATTGCTTTTTCAATGTTTCAATTTCATTTAATAATTCTTTATTTACTTGTTGTTGTTCATTTATAATATTTACCATGATTTTCTTGTTTGTTCCTTTTTTTTATTTATTTTTTTAATATATACTTATATCCTTTTTATGAAGGTATGTAAATTATTTTAATACTTTTTTACTTTAAAGGTAGAAAAGCTAACAATATTTATCAAAAGATTAAACTTATTAGGCTTAGTGATAGTAAGAGATAAATTAAGTCATAGAGGTAATTTTATTCTAAATATTTTATTTATTACCAATATAGAATGGCTTTGGACAAGTAATATCTTTGTATTCATCTTTCACAAATAGGCGAATATTCTGGTAAAGATATTCTTGTCTTTTGTAATCCAAAGGAGGTGGTGTTAACACTAAAATAGATAAAGCTCTAATTTCTTCAAAAATATCTGCTTTCTTGGTTTTCAATAAATTGAATTTAGCCAAAGGTCCATTAGCAACTTCTTGAACTTTTACTGTATCAAGATTAGATACTTTAAAAAGAAAATGTTGATATTTCTGTACAGAGGATTGCTAAAAGTCTCTGATCACCATTTTTTAGGTGTGATTTTATGCCATTAACATTATATGACTTAATAATACTGCGGTCATATGATGTTTCAGACCTTATTTACATGAATCAAATATAATAAATGCGTGTCCAGTTTGTTTATTTTGATTTTGAATCAAAATAAACTTTAATCCCAAAAATACCTAAATAATGTCTAAAGAATTAATTGCAGAACAACGCGACGCTATATTTTTTTACCATCAACGTGGTGATAGTTACCGAACTATTGCTACGACAGTCAAATGTGATGTATCAACAGTATTTGACACTTTGAAAAGAATGGATGACACTGGAACAACTAATTCGAGGTCTCACTCCGGTCGACCATCCCTTCTTGGACCTTTACAACAAAACTGGCTTAAGAAATTTGTAACCAATAATAATGGAAAGAACTGTCGCTTATGTACTCCAGAAATTCAACAATTCTGGAATAAAAAGACTGGCCAAGTTATTTCAACTAGCACTATTGGCCGTACACTTTGTGCAGTTGGATTAAATAATTGTATTACTTGATGCAAACCTCTAATCTCATTAGTAAATATGGAAGCACGTCTTGTATAGTGCTTAGAACATCAAAGTTGGACAAAGGACGATTGGTCGAAAGTTCTGTGGAGTGACGAGTTGACCTTTTCTCAATTTCAACAATCTCGGTGCAGTAGAGTTTGGCGAGAACCTAGTGAAGAATACAA